GAAAAAGAGAGTTGTTGATGTTTTTGTGATCAGAATCTCGATCATTGGTACCAATTTTTACGTCCTTGCTTTGAACTTAAGAATAAACTAGTGTAAATACATGTGGATAACTAGAAAAAGTCTTCTTTCATTTGGTATGCACATCATTTCGAATCTGACATCAAAACGAGTTTTTAATCTTCCGGATGTAGAAAGTTTGTTGCGTCTAAGGATTGATATGAGTGGAGTAAGACATGAAACCTAATATATTTGTTGGCGGCAGAAAATATTATATCTAGAGTTGACCAAAACCAAAAAAAGAAGATAACGTTTACGAGTTTACTTTGGTAAAATGTCATTTTCTGTAGTAATGAATTGTAGAAAAATGATATAACATGTGAAATATTTCAGGTTCTGCTTGGACGATCCTTTCAAGACCCTTTTCTGAATATTGCATAATAGGTTATGACAACCTACCAAGGACACTTCTTCTCTACTACACTAACTTTGTTTCATCTCCGGAAGGCTATTTTCAGACACTCATATGCAACTCGGATGAGTTCAGGAACACGACCGTGAACCACGACCTCCACTACATCATGTGGGACAACCCGCCAAAGCAGCATCCTAAGACTCTAGGGGCAAGGGATTACAGAAAGATGGTAATGAGTAACCGACCGTTCGCAAGGAAGTTCAAGAGCAATGACCCGGTTCTCAAAAGGATAGACCGAGAACTTCTGAGAAACAAACGGAAGCGTAATTCGAAATCGAAACCCGAACCTGGTCCTGGTCCGGGGGCTAGGAGATTGAAGAGTTTGCTAATGAGGCTTATGTTAAGAAGAAACTTTGTCAAGAGACAATGTAGATAGGAATTGTGAGTAACAGAACCTTGGATCTTATTCTTTCTTGATTTTTTTTGGGGCTGGTGAGTCACAAGGGAATAATGAAGAATGGAGATAGAAATATATAATGATGGGTTGATTTGGTTTTGGATTTCAAAATCATAAAAATAATAGAATGTTGGGTTGGGTGGGCTAGATTGTGACATTCCATGTATAAGCTTTTGTCCAACCTTTGATGTGAAAAGTATAAAATTTATTTGAAAGCGTGTGATACATGCTTATTTGTTTGGGAATATCCCTGACGTGTTTAGAAATATTAAATGAATTGTGTGTTGCTTATGCTTCAGTACTGTAAATAGATACGTGTTTATAAAAACATTTATCTCTTTGTCGTAGTTCCTAGTGGACCAAACTGGACCCAAAATTTGATCAAATTTAGTTTAAAATGAATTTCATTTTGAAGTATAAAAAAAATYGAACAAAATCGAAACGTAAAGTAAGCATAGTTGAGAAGCTGAAGTTTTTTCATCATTTTGTATAAACTGCTTTGTTGGTCATTGTTTCTAACAAAAAAAAGAAAAAAAAGAACTGCTTTGTTGGTCATGTATTTTGACTCAAGGTCATGTAGTATTTAAGAATGATATTTATTTTTTTCTTTAAATTTGTCGCTGTTGTTCGAGTTTTCCTTTTTCCTAGAGCAACTGCAAAGCTGCAACGGTCATATACACTGACTTCGTTACCTAAACCACTTCTCAGTTCTCAATACCAAATTTTCTTTTGTTTTTGGTTTGATGCGAATGTCCTCTTTTAATGTTCTTAAGTTAAATGTTTGACCCCACAAAGCAATAACGGTCCAATATCCAACTATTGGTGAGATGAGATCTTAAGGTCTACTCACGGACCCACCTCTT